ACCACGAAGCTCCTTGGGGGCCATCTCGGCACCAAACAGAGGCAGTGAGAACGACGAGTTACCGACGCCGAAGCCCTGGATCACACGAGCGATATACATGAGCGTGTGTTCCTGCGCCTTGTTGAAGCAAACCCACGACGTGCCGATGCAGAACAGCAGACCAGCAGTGAAAATGGTCCAGCGACGACCAAGCTTGTCGGCCACGATGCCGCCGATGAAAGCGCCAGCGAGACAACCCAGGTTGTACGCCATGTTGTACCAGACAGTGAAGTCCGTCCACTCATGTGGCAGGTCCGACGTGGAAGCGGTGCACTGCTCGTAGGTGAAGTTGTGCCAGCCGACGCAGTAGTCGTTGATGAAGGAGTCCATGATGAGAATACCCGAGGTCACACCCTGGTCATAGCCGAAAAAGAGTCCACCCAGAGCGGCGAAGACGCATACGACGATGGCATAAGTGCGCGAACCTTCGGTTGGGACGTCATCGTCATTGTTGTGGACGTTCACCACGACGCCAGCAGCCATTGTAGATTGAAGAGAAGCTGAAGCCGAAGTGGAAAAGCTGATGACCAAGTGGGCGGAGGCGAGTTTGGGCTATGCAGAAAGCGGTAAATTGGAGAATGAGCGGATGGATCGGTGGGCTGAATTTGAGGTCTACCTCGGTAGAGGTAGCTCTTGGGGCTGTTTGCATTGTCAATAGCAGTGTAAACATCACAATTGCATTGTCAATAGCAGTGTAAACATCACAAAGTGAGCTTTGCGCTGTGGGAGGTTAATTAAGGTAGGGCATGCTGTACGAACCGACACCATAATATAGGGCATTTGAAGCTTCTGGTTGAAGTTGTTCGGGTCTAGGGATTGACAGGACGCGGCTCTGTTCCATGTGCTAGATTTATTTTATCAATTTATTGTTATTATTCGAGTATCCTCTCGAACAAGCAGCTAAGACTATACTACACCATAAACCGGGCCGAATTTGCCGGTTGGAGTAGTCGAGTCTCTTTGCATACTAGGATTCTTTAGAGGAAAAAAGTAAATTAGCATCAGGATTAGAAGTCTGTCGAATAAAAATTTGGTATTATTAAAGAATTCAACATAAAGCACGAATTGTTACTGTAATATTCCTGTTTTGTGGTTATAACATACAGGATTATCGATAAAGCTGTTGTTTATAATCAAATATTGAATTAATATTTTCATAGTAAGCTAACGAAGCTAAATTGTGCGTGCGATGAACGACGCCATTCTGGAGGTATCCAGACTGGAGTCGTTCATGGATTTAGTACTAACACGTAGTAAACGATAGCTGTGAGGTCGCTCTCTATGGATTTAATTAAGTGATACAGTATGAAGTACAGTAGTAAAACGTTAAATACAATTTGAAGGATTCAGAAATACAATTGTCATTGAACTCACCTCAGGCGCCATAATCATACCACCTCCATAATCATTTCGTAATATCACGTCGACAATAAATCAAGTGCATGCAAGTCACGGCTGTGCCAGTACACACACAGTGCATGAGTCGTAGCATTGATTAATCTCTGTAGACCTAGTTCAATGCGTCGACCACATCGCCGGGATATTGTGTCATTATACCATTTCCATATTTCATTACACCTATATAAATACGACGACGGATATGCGGTGCTCGCAGGTTACATACATGTTCCCAACTGCATGAGCTTATAAGGACTAGACCTCCTACCAGCTTAAGACTAAAATAAATCAAGGTTGGGATGCTTTCGGTTGCATCCCTGATACAGTACACAGCTGGGATATGGCACTTCGTTGATACGGGGATGCTCTGGGCGCTGAGATTTGGTTGGAATCGTTCCACGAGATTAACTCTAATTAAAATGCAACAAGTAAAGTTGAACATGCGCGTCATACATATAAAGGAACCTCGC